TAGATCCCGTCTTAGACTTATGTTACGCATTATTTGTTTCTTTAAAACTTTTCTAATATTGCACAATAAAAATATTAATCATTAATTTATAGTACTTATTATTATATTTTTTCCTTTATATTACGTTTACACAGCATTAGTAAAACCGTTTTAGTAAAAACCATTTTATAAAACTGGCCAATCTTAATCGTTCCATTCTTCCGAGCCCCGAGGAACTATGACTTGGCCAGTTTCATAAAACGGTTTTATCACTGCCGTGTAACAAAGGTCTATGTTCTGTTTCATATTTATTATAATTCCAAATTGTGATATATTAATAAAAAAATAATTTATGATTTTATTTTAAAATTTGTAAAAAAACAAAAATTTTGTGAATTTAAGAAAAATAGATGACATTAGCTGAAAATTTGGATAAACAGGAATTTTGGGAAAAATAGGGAAAACTAGGGAGATTATCATATGCATAACTAGGGAGATTACCATAACAGGGAAATTGCTTCGCTGGTATCTGGCAACACTGGTCTAATGTTATAATAGAAGTCTGTGATGTACAGTGAATTGAAAGCTTCGGAATTATCTTCTTTCGAACTATTCGTTATTTCAAATGTTCGAAGTGGAACTTATGGTTATTCTACAATGTGCTTTTTGTTTCTTGTTTTTTGCTATTTTTTGCTATTTATTTCTTATAATTTTGCTTTTTATCCGGTTTTTTGTTTTATGTCGCCCGAGATAAAAGTTAATGAACAGAAGGAACAGGAAATATGTAGCAAGAAATACAATTGTTGATAAAACAATTGATAAAACAAAGGAGGAAAAAGCAAGAGATAAAAACAAAAAGCAAAAAAGCAAAAAAACAGAAAACACATTGTAGAACAATCAATACTTTGTTTTGAGAGGGACATCTTTTGATGGTCACAGATTCTCTCTAGATGTGCTCTTAAGATTTCAAGGTGATTTTTATTTTTTTTTAATGGAATTACATAATTTTTTTTGTATAATTTAATTCTTCTAATTGTTGTACATAAAAGTACTAAGGCGTAGACAGAAAAAAAATTAATTTGTGAGAATTTTGTACTTTATTCTGGTACATATTGACATGAAATATTTCGTGAACTATTAATTTTTTTACATAATCGTATCTCTTTAATGAATGTAATAAAATTTCTTTAGTGATTATAATGGCACTTCTTTAATATTTTTATAAATAGAATAAAGAGATAAATTAATTTGTATACTGAAAATACGTAATTGCTTTAAAAAATATGTAGGCCAAATAGATAATTTTTTAAATAAGCAAATGTGTCCTTTCTTTTCATTTGATTCATCTCATTATTCTATTCATAAAAATATTAAGGTATGATTATAAAAAATTAACTTATCACGAGATATTTAATATTTCATGTCAATTTCATGTGCCAGAATAAAGTATAAAATATCTTGTAAGTTATTGATAAGTCACTTTTGATATTTTTATTGAGAGTACAAATTAGTCCGTTTCCTTAAAGATAGCTCCAGTTGTTGTGAATGGTTCATAATAACAGCTGATTTTGGCGATTTCAGAGAGGTTAAACATCTGCTAATAATATTCAGTTTATATCGCTTTGAATTTCATATAAAAACCTTGATTTTTACTGTGTTTGAAATGTCGAATTTTGTGTTAACCAAGCAGCATTTGCGGGAGGTTTTGATTTTCTGCTTTAATTGGAAAAAAAGTGTGGCTGAAGTCCATCGAATGCTTGTCGAAGTTTATGGTGACACTGCTCCAATTGATAAATAATGTAGGAAATGATTTCAACTTTTCAAGGATGGAGATTTTAGCGTTGAAGACAAGCTTCTGGACAGCCAAAAAAATTCAAGACAAAAAGACAAAGAATTAGAGGCATTACTCGAAGATCAGAGTCAAACGCAAGAGGAGCTTGCAGAATCATTGGGGATAACTCAACAAACCGTTTCTATATGATTGAGAGCCATGAGAATGATTCAAAAACAAGGAAATTGGTACCTTATGATCTGAAACCGAGATACGTTGAAAGGTGATTTTTCACTTGCGAACAGCTGATTCAAAGACAACAGAGAAAAGGTTTTTTGCATCGGATTGTGAAATGAGAAGTGGATATTCTATGACAACTCCAAGAAGAAAAAATACTACGCTAAGTCCGTCAATCGTTGCCATCGACCTCAACATCAACATCACGGCCAAACATTCATTCGAAGATCATACTCTGTATCTGGTGGCCAAAAGAGTTTTGTTTACTATGAGCTGCTGAAACCTAGCGATTCTATTACGGGCGACCGATATCGGCTACAATTGATTCGTTTGAGCCGTGCATTGCGAGAAAGCCGCCCGGAATACGACATGGTAAAGTTATTCTTCTTCATGACAACGCTCGGCCTCATTATGTCGCTAAAGTCGTAAAAATATATTTGGAAACGCTCAAATGTTGGGATGTTTTACCGCATCTGCCATATTCTCCCGACATTGCTCCTTCTGATTACTGGTTGTTCCGAAGGATGCAGCAAGTTCACTTCTTTCGCAGAAATCGAAAATTGACTCCAAAATTGGATCGCCTCCAAAGACGAGTCATTTTTTCGAGACGGAATTCGAAAATTGCCTGAGAGATGGGAAATAGTAGTAGGCGATGGACAATACTTTAATTGATCTGTTCATTTATTTTGTTTTGAAATAAGTGCCCAAAAAACGAACCAAACTAATTTGTACTCCCAATATCTTAATACTTTTTCATGCGGAATAATAATAATAATAATAATCAGAAGAATTACACGTTATGTTAAAAAAATTGTACAATTTTCCATTTAAAGATATGGAGACAATCGTCATATATTTTTGGTTTCTCAACTTAAAAAAAAGCAACGTGATCAAATTACGTCCTCCTCGAAATTGTTAGTTTTATTTAAAATATTTTTTTGTATTTTACGTATTTTTCAAGATATTTATCCGGGGAAATTAAGATGAAACAATCTGTATATACATATATGTGTACGTGTGTACGTATGTACGTGCGCGCACGCACGCAGGATACTATTGGGCTTTCAACGTAATCCATCTGTAATGTTAATAATTCTCCAAAATTTAATTACATACATCTTAAAAACCTGTAAAGAACTTGCGAAAAATATTACCTCCGGGAATCAAATCTCCGGATCTCTTAGAGTCATTCTAGTAAAAATCGATATGTAAGCGGCCATCTTCATGATTGGTACCACCATGTTTTCAGTTTGTTAATGTGTTAGTGAATGTAAATGAATAGGTGAGAGCAATTTTTATAAGTGTAAAATCACGTTTTTCAACATGGCACCAGGGCAAACGTTTTTTTCGCTTCGGTCTGAGTTAATTATCTTAAAATAATTATCGTCAGTCTAATTTTAATCATATTAACCGCCTTCTTATTTTTTCGAGGGCAGATGTCATTTATTAAAGAAAAATAAGTATTATTAGCCGTTTCCAGTAAAACAAACATGACCCGTTTTTTCGATTTTGTGTCTCTCTCTCTCTCTTACTATTATAGAATGACTCTAGGATCTCTCTAGCATTATCTTAAAAAGGGTTATCAATGAAAAAAATATAGCCATTCTATTTAAAAAAATGAAGGTGATTTTGAAATGTCTCCAATGCCTGTATC